TTGTTAAATTATTAAAATAGAAATATTTTTGCAAGTTTGCTATTATTTTAAAATTTGTGCAATATTTTGAAATATTTAAAAAATTTTTAAATATAGTTTATTCTATTTAAGAAATATAAGATAATTTTGATATTTATTTTTCTAAATGTTTAAAAATTTGTGCAATTTTGTGAATATTTTTAAAATAATTATGTTTTATTCAAATTTTTAATTAATTTAAAAATTTTTAATTTTTTTTATAACAGAAAGAAGTCCTGCGAAAATACTTAAAAATCAAGGAGAAATTTTGTATCATATTAAGCAACTTTTCTCTCAGGTTTAACAAGTAAATAGTTGTATTAAAGAATTAGAGAAAAGGTTGAATGATAAATTTAATACAATGAATAAAAAAACTTTTTATGAAGTAATTAATAATTATTTTAATCTTAGTTTATAATTTATTCTAATAAATTTTTTATTATAGCAAATTATAAAGAGGGTTTCTAAAAATTTAATAGAAAGAGTAATATATCCTAAAAAAGAAGAATTTAAGTCAGCTGTAGAGTATTATCTAAAGACAAATCATGCCAAATTTATTTCAAAAAAGTTAAAGAAACAGTAGAATACTTACTATGAGAAGAATTTTTACAGATCAGAAAAAAATTTTTCAAAATTTTATTAAATGAGTATTGCCAAAAAAAAAAAAACTTTAAACATTATTATAATTTTTGGTTAAAGGTATCTTAACAACTATTTTATAATTATTTGTTAAGAAATTTTAATCAAAATATTTTAATAATATTTAAAGTTATTCTTTTTTCTTGATGATACTCAAAAATTTTATTTATGTTATTATATTTAGAATTATTCAAAATATTGCAAATTAATTTTAAATATTTTGAATTATTTTGAATTATTTTGAATTATTTCATAATATTTCAAATAGTTTTAAAATTTAATGTTTACTAAATTTTTATAGCTTTTGAAGAAATTTAGACTATTGTAGAGTACCTTAACTACCAAGATTAAGAATACTATATTTGTTGTATTTGAAGATCTCTTATTCTCTATTAATAATAAAGCAAAACCTAAGATTATTCTTGAGTGGAAACAATCTGAAGAAACTAAATCTTGTTATAAGTAACTTTTTAAGAAATTTTTTGAAAGCTCAGTAAATACTTATATGTTGCTTTATTAAACAAAATTTGGCCCTTTGGTGATGCAACTCATAAAAAAGTTGCATATATTATAGCAGTTTGCCAAACTATGCTTGATCTTAAGCAAGATAGTTTGATAATTTCTGAAAGTATTATAAAATACAAACTTTTAAGAAATTTGGTATATATTTTTTATATCATTATAAAATTTTTTACTCATATAACTAAAATATTTTTTATATATTAGAGAAAGTTAGATAATAATAAAACAATTTTCACATCAGACACAAAGGATGATACATCAAATTTTGAAGAAAGTGAAACTTCAGAAGACTTTGAAAAAGTATAATTTTATTTTTTATATTTAAAATTAATTTAAAATATTTTAAATATTTATGCATATTTGCATATAATTTTAAATATTATTATAATTTGTTAATATTATATTTTATAACTTTCGAGTTTAACAAATAAATAACAAAATATTTTAGTTATTTGTATTTTATTTATTGGTTTTTTAAATATACTGAAATTATTTTTATTAATTATTAATATTAATTTAATATTTTTTTTATTTTATCTTACTAAATACATCTAGAATACCTAGAGCTAGCTGCAGTAAATGAAAAAATATTTTGCATGAATTTGAAATAGTTTGTATTATTTTAAAATACTTAATATATTTTTAATATTAATTACAATTAACAAATTTATTAGGCAAATAAAAGACTAAGAGAAGGTATGACCATTAAATTATGATTTATGTATAGTTATAATCTGCAATATTTTAAGAATATTTTATAATTCTTTTAATTTTTAAATAATTTTACATATTTTGTTATTTTCGAATATTTTACAATTTTTATTTTTTTCTAAAATTATTCACTGATAATTTTAATAATTAATTTAGATTTATCTGATGAAAATCAAGATACTGAAAAAGAATTGTAAAACTTTTTTTTATTTTTTTTAAATAATCTTTTTTTTTTTTAGCTAAATTTGAAAGAATCATATATAGGAATTTAATGTTTAAATGAAACTTTTTGTTTTATTTACTAATACATCTTTTTAAATTTTACAGATTTTTCAAAACATTTTAAATATTTTTGAAATTTTTTTACCATTTTATAAATTTTTATATAATATTTTGAAAGATTTTCAGTATGCAATATCTTTTGCAATATTTTGCATATTTATTCTGCTAATATAGTAAAGGTCCTACTAAGTTAATTCTAATTTATTTAAAAGCTCATTCTATTTGAATAAGATATAGAGGTTTAGTTTATTTGCCTTTTAGTCTCTTTTGACACTTTTTATATATTTTAATATATTCTTGTACATCTTAATACATTTGGTTTCAATAATATTGTTCAGCTATTTTATAATATATAGTATCTGTTTCTAAGTGTTCTATAATAAGATGCTTATGTATTATATATAGAACAGATTCTATTTTATTTTATTTAATAATACAAAGAAGATACTGAGAAATTTTTTTATTTGTTTTATATAATAGTTCTTTCTTAGTAATAAAATATCTAGCATAGTGTTATATTTGTCTAATTTGTTTCTGTAATAAAAAGTCAGATAACTTGTTTAATTCTATATAATTATATAAATTATAATAAAGGTCTAAATTTATGAAAAAGGATTTTGATGCAAGGTCTGTGTTTGAAGTTAAGATAAAACATCTATATTAGAGTGAACTCTTTCTGATTTATGAATAATTTCAAAGTTGTAAGACTAAAACTTTAGAATTCATTATTTTTAGAATTCTTTAGGTTCAGCTGATTGTAACTATTTAAGAGCAGAATGGTCTGTAATCAAAATAAATTTAGTAATTCTAAAATATTTATAAAAATGTTCAATAGCCTATACAGTGGCAGCATATTCAAGTTTAGTGATATCATAGATGACTTCTTTTTTAGTTAAGCTTTTACTTATATAGGCTACTAGATGTTCTTTTCTGTTTCTATCCAATTAACTAAGAGTAGCTTCAAATTTATTCTTTAAACTGTTTTTCTTGCAAATTTGCCTTCAAATTTTTGAATTTGGATTTGTAATTCATGTAGTGCATATAACACAAAAAATTTAAGATTTTACTAATTTAATTCAAAAAATCCTAATTTTGATTTATTTAGAATTATTTATTTATTTTTTAGTTTATATAATGCATTGTTCTTTTTTTTTAATAATTGTTTAATTATCTTCTATTAGGCTTTGTTAATTACAATCATTGTAATTTATTTATTTATTTATTTTTTTATTTACTTATTTTTTTTCTATATATTATTTTAATACTATTTCCAAACATCAAGAATACAATATGAATAATGATGCTGAAGATAATGATTCCTATATTTTTAAGCTTATATGAAATATTGAGAATAAAATTAAAAGTAAAGTTAGAGATATTACCAATGATAAAAGTGATAAAGTTGAAGATGAATTTGTCAATGAAACTGAATAAGAAATTGCTAATAAGACTGAAGAAGAAACTGTGAATATAAAAACCAAAAAAAAAATTAATAAAATTAATAAACATAGTCAAATAAAAAAAAAAGAGAGAGAATGGTGATCCTAGTGTAGTGGTTAGATTGTCATCCTCCAAGTGTCAGATCTAAGGTTCAAATCCCACTTATGTCAAAATTTAGAAATTAACCTGTATTATAGCAAACTGTCTTTTGATAATTAGTTGAATTTGTATATCTGTAACCTTAAGTCGCACCATCTCAAATAGGAGCTTAGAGCATCTATGCCAAGTATAACATTACACATATATAGAGGAATGTTAATAACCAGTATTACATAAGACTTTGGTGCAAACCTATGATAAGACCACCAGGTGCAATAAACTAAGAAACTAAAGAGTTGGAAACCTACTTGGAAATTCCTAAGTAAAAAAGTAGCATGAACTTTTAACAGTATGGTCAGACTAATAGAAGCTTATGAAACACTCCTAAAGGAATAGACAGATAACCAGATGTTAAAATATATAGAGGAGCATATGACCAACCAGACCTCTGAATTCACCAGAGAAAAAAGATACATAAGTATACCATATCGAGCTATCTGGATTAGAAATCAGTAGAGTTCTGTCAGTCCTGAGTAGTGGTTAATAAGGGATGATAGAAAAGACATAGTAATGATAGGTACTGGGGTTCTAGTGAACTTTACAAGAGTAGAAATAGTATAACATAGCAGTTAAACAGGTAACCTATGTGACTGCAAGTATTAGGTAACTATAGCATATTGCATAAAACTAAATCAGCTGTATGTAGAACATGAAAGCTTCTAGTAAGTTTTCTATCAAGGATAAACTAGTCCTAAGGGTACTTGAAGACATTAGGTATTTGGATGAGTGTAGCCTTGAAGATGTCTCTGTGCAACATAGTGAACTACATATGCAGAGGGTTTAAATAGGCAAGACCCATAGTTGGCTTGCAGATATAGCACCTAGTGTAAAATCTGTATAGTAATGTATAGGCAGACTACTTAAATTAGGCACCAAAAGTGCATATGTGGCTAATTGTAACCTCCAATGTAAGGGAGCTCCTGGAGGCACCCATGTCCAAATACATGAATAAAAACATCAACTTCTATAAACAGAGACTTTAACTCAAATAAAAAAAATAAAAAAAGTATCTTTAATTAATTTACTATTACCACTATTATTTCAAAAATTTTAGCATACTAAACTATATTATATTTCTTAAGTAAAAGTAGCTAACAAATTACTTATTGGCAAAGTTACTTTATATTCAATTTTTTGTCTATTCTTTTCTGATTTACAATTAAATTTTATTATTGAAAATACAAATTATTATGCAATAGCAAAATTAGCTGATAACAGATATAAATAGTATTCTTAAACAATCAAAGAATTGTTAATATAGTTTGCCCTAATAATTTATATAAGTGTTTTTAAGTTACCTAGTAGAGAAGATTACTAAAAAATAGATTGGAAATATCTACAATATAAAATTACAAAATATATGACTTTAGTTCGATTTGAACAAGTTATGTTTTTTATTTTTTTATTTTTTCGAATTTATTTTTTAGTTTATTGATTTTTTTTAAAAAATAGAAGATAGAGTGATATCTTTATATCATGAAAATTAAAACAAAATTATCAGAATTACCATAGTATTTGAAAATTGAACTCTTGGCAACACATATTCAAAAAGTTTTTAAATTGATATACTTACCAAAATCGCAAGTTTCTATCAATGAAATGGTCATTAGATTTAAAGAAAGAAGCAGCTATATAGTGCAAATTAAAAATAAACCCACACTTGAAGAATACAAAATTTTTTCTTTATGCAATTTAGAATATACTTATTGTTTTGTTTTTATTTCTCGTATTAAATTAATTGAAACTAACTCTGAAATTACTTCAATTTTGAATATTAACAAAATTGGTTGGCAGGTTTATTACTTGGTATCTTAACTTTCAAAAAACAAAGCATTCAACATTTACATAAATAATTTTTTCACTAGTATCAACTTATTTAATTATATGTAAAAAAACAGATATAATGGTTGTGAAACAGTAAGAACTAATACTTCAAAATTTTCTACTTGTTTAAAAATAAAAAAATTACAAAAATTTAAATATGATACTCTTTTTGAAGCAGTTGTTGATAACATTTTAGTTGTGTTTTGAATAGATAATGATTCTGTAACCATGTTAACAACTATATATAAAATTTTAGATAAGAAATTTTAAGTAGAATGTGAAAAGAAAAGGCTATGAACAATTAGTACAAATGCAATAAAAGTTTGTAATATGTTTGGTAATGCAAGTAAAAAAGTTCTTCTTATACCTGCTGTAATAAATAATTACAATTATAATATGAATAATATTGATATAGCTAATCAATTAAGAGGTTATTATGCTACACAAGTTCCTTTATATTATATTTGGTTGCTGTTATTTTTTTGGCTCCTGGATACCAATATTGTTAATACTTCTTAATTTCAAAAAATCTTAATTTGATAACAGTACACAAAGATTTTAAAATAAATTTGGCATAGAATTTGATAAAAAAACTACTTCAAATGAGTTAAATTAACTGACAATTAAATACATGATCAAAAAAAACAACATTTCAGTTAAAGTTACAAAATAATTAACAAAGACTATTTTACATTACAAAAAAATTTAAGTTACCTATTGAATAATTATTTCCACAAAGCCACTATCTAGTATATTGTGAGCAAAGAGGTTTCTGTATTTGGTGCAAGTTTAAAAATATAATTGAGCAAGAAAAATACAATAAAAATTCACCAAAAAGCCAGGTATAATACACAATATGTAATGTGCTATTATGTTTCAATAAGCAGCATTCAAATTGTTTTATTGAGTATTATGAATATAAATAACAAAATAAATACTGTTTTTATATTGTGGTATATAGTTTGATATTATGTTTACTATTATTTTGTCATAGTTGTAATATAAATAAGCATTAAAAAATTTCAAAACAAATTTGCTCCAATTGACAAACAGTTTAAGAGATAATAAGAGATATTTGTAGCTAAAATAAATAATTTGTCAAAGTCAGAATACTTTAATATAAAGGTTGTAATAAGTTTCTGTTTTAATTTTTCAAAAGCTTCATGTTGTGGTTTATCTTATATACTGTATAAAGAGTTTTTTTATATAATAACTAGGTTAGAAGCTGTGTTGCTTTAAAAAGTTATAAATAAACTGTTAGTAGTAACCTACTAGTTCTAAGAATAAATATAGTTGAGTTATATTGCTAAGTAGTTGAATCTTTTAAACAGCTTCTATCTTTGAGAATCAGATACTATTCTAATAGAGGTAACTATATATCTCAAGAATAATAAATTTTGTAATTAAAAGTTATATTTTTTTAAATTCAATTGTAAATTAGCTTTTTTGATTTTAATAAAAGTTTGTTATAAATATTCTAAATGTTTATCAAAGATCTTGAAATATACTATAGTATTATTAAAATAAACTACTACAAATTTCTATGCAATGTCTTGGCATATTCTATTTATTAATTATTAGAAAGTTGCAAGTACATTATATAGTTTAAAGAGCATTACATTAAACTCATAAATACTATATTAAGTAACAAAAACAATCTTTAGGGGTGTGCTGACTTAGTGAAGTAGTCAGGTTGTCAACTTTCAAGTGGCAGGTCTAAAGTTCAAATCCCATGGACAATGAATTTTGGAAAATAGGTCTGTGTTATGGTAACTGTTTTTGTCAATCAGTTGGATTGGTGTATTTGTAACCTTTGTTGCACTATCTTGAATGGGAGCTTGGGCATCTATGCTAAATATAACGTTACACTCATATAGAGGAATGTTAATAACCAGTGTTGTATAAGACTTTGGTGCAAACCCACGATAAGACCACCAGGCATGGAAAGCAAAGGAACCGAAGAGTCAGAAACTCACTTGAAAATCCCGAGTAAGAAGATAGCACAAAACTTTCGATGGTGCTGTTGGACTGATAGAAGTCTATGAAACACCCCCAAAGGGATAGGCAGATAAACTGAATAACAAGATATGTAGAGGAGCACATGACCAACCAGGCTGCCAGAATTGTCAAAAGAAAAGAATATTAAGATATACCATACCAGGCCATCTGAATTGGAAGTCCAGGGAGTCCTGTCAGTTCTGAGTAGCAGTTAGTAGAAGATGATAGAGAGAATGGTGGAAAGATGAGTACCAGAGTTTTGAATAAACCTTACAAGGGTAAAAGTAGTTTAATGGTTAGCTCTGACTGCAAGTGATGGTTTAAGCCAAATCATGACTGGATGAGTTGTAAATATAAGATACAGAATGCACTAAAAGGTTTAGTACAAAGTTAAACATGACTTAGTAACTATAGCATATCTTTACTAGTTTACCGAAGTTACTTGTAGGGTGTGGTGGATGCAGAATCAGAGTGTTTAAATAGAGGATTTACAGGTAGGTTCTAGATATAGCAATTAGTATAGAACCTTTGGGCGGACTATTTAAATTAGACAATGACTAAAGTTGTATAAGTGGCTAGTTGTACACTCTTTCTGTAATTGCCTTTGTGTCTGTACATGTACAGGTGCTAGCCAACTTATACTATTAGTAAAATCCTGGGTCGCATATACTCACCTTAACATTTAAAAAAAAAAAACAAAACCAATCTTTTGTTTGTCTATAAAGTGCATAGCAACTTGCCAATATCTACTTGAATTTTTTTAAGATATTAAGCATTTTATTAATACAAGATAAGAGATAGGCATCTTTCTTAGTAATGCTATTAAGTTTATAATAGTTAACACAAAATTATAATTTGTAATTTTTCTTTCAAACTAATACAACTAATAAGGTTTAGAAGCTAAAGAAAGGTTAATAAGTTTATTATTAAGCATTTGTTAAATTTCTTTTTTAATAAGCATATATTTTATAGAAAAAAAAGAATATAGTCAAGATCAAATAAGAGAATTTTCTTTTGTATAAATTCAATAAGTTACAAGATTAGTTCATCCTAATTCTGTTGTTTCTTGTATAAAAAGATCTAAGAACTTTATCAGCAATTGGCTAAATTGTTTATCTTGTTTAGTATCTAAAAATTCAATGTTCAATTTAAAAGATTCTAGACTAATACTATATTTTTTATAAGAAATTATAATATTTATTATAAAAACTTGATACACATTGTTTAGTTTAACAGATAGATTTTCATCTTGTCTAAGATAATCTAAAAATTTAATCTTTTCTATTCTTGAGCAAAAGAAGCATATTATTGTTAAATAGTCTGAGTATTCTGTTAGAGTATTTGTAAAAAAATCTAAATAAATTTTTTTAACTTTTTTATTTTCTGTTAGAGCTATAGAATAAGTTAGTTCTGGATTTTGACTTGTTGTTATAATTGTGCAACTTGTGGTTACAAGAAGTCTGATTCTGGTAAAGTTGTATTGTTAGTGTTTAATAAAGGGTCTATTAAGTTTGGTATAAAAGGCTCATAAATAAAAACTGATAGAAAAGTACAGTTCTGACAATATCCTTGATAGGTGTCTAATTTATCTTAATGTTTAACATATAAGCATTTTTTGCAAAGATCAACAAAAACATTAAACTGTCAATAAAGGTTGGCAATAGCAAGTTAATAATCAAATTTTGAATAGCTAATGTCAAAAGACTTAGCTAAAGTTTATTAAAAAAGTTGCACTTTTTCTTCATTAAGAACAGCCTGTTTAGTTCATAAAATAAGGTTTATTTCTTTATATATCCAAGGTTAATTAATCTGATTATTTACTTGAAGTTTCAATGTTTCAGTAATAGTAAGATTTGTTTCATATAAATAGATTTTAGCAAAACAAAAAATACAAGTCTGGTTTATTTTATACTGAAATCTAGCACTTCTGACTAACTTAGTATAGTGTCTAATTTAGGTCTACAAATTATAGTTAGAGTTATAGAGAACATCTGTATTGGCTTTGTAAATATATAAATGTTCAAGTTTACAAAACTATAGTTCTTCTGTAATACTTTCCAAATTATGCATTTTGTTTCTAAGTTCAAAATTTTTGTATAATTTGCATTCTATCAAGATTTTACATCTATTACTTTGAATATAATAGTACTAGCTTCTGAGGTTTTCTTGATCAAGACTTTAGTAAAAATCAGTATAACAACCTTTACAAATAAGAACTTATCTAATTTTTGTAGAGTTTCTAATTTTTGCAATGACAATAATAGTAGATACAACAGTTACTATAAAAATAGTCTTTGAACTTTAACTTTATTAAGATTATAGTTACATTAGTAGGTTTGATTCTGGTGCTTAAAAGGAGCTAAAAGACAATCAACAACAATATAGTTTATAAAGTTATATTTATGACAAATATTTTTAAGACATTGTTTATAGAGGTGTTTAGAGCTTTGGCAGTTCTTCCAAGTTTCTCTTTAAAGAGCTTATAGTTGATAGTTAATAGCAATATAATTTTTATAGTAATATCAGTTACAAGTATTTTAAGAGCAATTAACAAAAAGGTGATCAGAGAATTTACAGTTGTCATAAATATGAATTAAAACAGTTTGGGTATATCATCAAGATTGGTAGATGGTTCATCTTTTATTGTCTGTTTTTGAGTTAAGTTGTGCAGTATATGCTTCATATGAGATAAGGTACTCTTGTTTATAGAGATCAAGCTTTTTTGAGTCTGTTACTGTTGGTTAAACATTATTGTATTATTATCATAGTTGTTATTGTAATTATTATTATAGTTATTATTTTAGTCATTATTATAGTTGTTATCATAATTATTATATTGATTGTTATCAAATTCTTCCAAATACATAAACAAAAAACTCATTTTTATTTTAAAAATAATTTTTGTATTGTTATAGTTAATAATTTTATCTTATATATAAGCTACAGTTAATAGACTTTTAAATTAGTATTAGATTATGCATAATTTGTTATACAAGCATAATTTATAGATTAGATTTATAAAAAATAAATTAATAAAAAAAATATTAATAAATTAAATAAATAAATAAAAAATTTTAAATAAAAAAAAACCTATTCAAATTTGAATAAGTTTGTAAACTTTAAACTGAACTCAAACTGAACATAACTTCATATTTGAGTCTAATTCAGATTTAGACTTTAACTGTTTAGGTTTAGGTTTAAATTGCACAAATGTTATAGTTTAGGTTTAGTTCAAGTTTGGAAGTTCATCTAAACTCAAACAATCTGAACTAAACCTAAAAGTTCTAATTAACAGAAAGATATTCTAAGTTTTATAATTAGGTTTTATGTTTTGCAATATATAACAATCTAACAAATATATAAAAAAAAAAATCAATATTAAATTAGACAATACTTAATTGTATAAAAACTAGGTAATTATTGTTTAATATAATATAAAGATTAGAATATTTAAATAGATAATTTTCTAGTAGATTATAAGTATGACTGCTAATATAAAACCTATAGTAAGGATAGTAATCCTAGTATAGTGGTTGGGTTGTTATCCTCTAAGTGGCAAGTTTAAGGTTCAAAACCCACCTATGACAAAATTTGTAAATCAATCTATATTACAGAAACTGTCTCTTATTGATTGGTTGACCTCATAACTGTAATTCAAATATACCAAGTTGGGTCCTACTTGTTATTGGGAACTCAGAGCATCTATATAAAGTGTAACATTACATGTATATAGAAGAATGTTAATAACCAATGTTGTATAAGATTTCAATGCAAATCTATAATAAAACCACTAGGTACAGAAAACTAAAGAACTGAGGAGATAGAACTTTATTTAGAAATTCCTAAGTAAAGAGGTAGTACAAACTTTTAATAGCATTATTAAACTGATGGAAGTCTATAAAACACCTTTATAGGAACAGACAAATAAATTAGATAACAAGATGTATAAAGAAGCACATAACCAACCAGGTTACCAAAATCATTGAAGAAAAAGAATACTAAGATATACTATACTAGACTATCTGAATTAGAAATCTAAAAAGTCTGTTAGTTCTAAGTTGCAATTAGTAAGAAATAATAAAAAAGATATCAAGAAGATAGGTACTAGAGTTTGGATAAACTTTACAAAAATAGAAATAGTGTAATGGTTTAAGGTTAACATTGACTCTAAGTATTAAGTAACTATAGTATATTATATAAAACTAGGTTAGCTATATGTGAAACACAAATGACTCTAATAATGATGCTTCTGAGAATACACTGCATGAAATAAGATATAAAATTCTAAGAATACAAATAAGCATCTAAATCTTCTTAACTAATTTATATAATGATGATGATCTAGTAATACAGTAAGGATTGCAATACAGAAGTTTAAATAGGCAACACTTCTAATTGAGTTGCAAGTATGGCAGCTAGTATAGAATCATTAGCAGATTACTTAATTAGATACCAAAAATGTATATGTGACTAGTTGTACTCTCTAATGTAAAGAAACTTCTTTGAGACCTTGATCATGAGTCCCTATATCTTAACTATTGAATAAAAAACCCTAACTTTAAAAGAAACTAGTTTAGTTACAAAAAAAAAAAAAAAAGTAAAACCTACAATCAAATTACTTAAATAGATAATTAAAAATTACAATATAACTAGTTGTACACTTACCTTGTACAAGCTATATGTATATATAATTAAAAACACAATAAAGGCAATAAGTCACCATAAACATCGGCCTTAGTAAAAGCAAAAAAAAATAAAATAAAATAAACCTATATATGTTATATAGTCAATTAAGATTACTCTCAAGTTAGCATTAGATAAAAATTAATACTAGCAATTACTGTTGTTTTAATATTGTTGTTTGTTATCTTGCAAATAAATTTGTATGCCAAAATAAAATTTGTATCAAATTAAAATGTATATTCTAAGATATATAATTTAAATAAATTTGTGATCACGTGAAAAGTGCAGTGCAGATGCATTGAATTATAAAACCTTAATTTTAAAATAGTATCTCCTATTCTTAAAGTCTTAAAAAAATTTATTTAGAAAAAATATAATGTGTTTCTATTAACTCATCCTTATTTGTTCTTTTTTATTTAAGTAAATATATAGATAGGCTCTACTTTATTCACTTATAATCTATATTTAAGATAGCTTATATATATATTATTATGTATTATAAAGAATTATCATTTGACGATTTATTATGATTTTATAAAACGATGAATGTATATAATCGGTTTAATCTATTTTTAATAACTATTCCTAATATTGAGTTGTGTATTATATATTCAAAGTTCTTAGAACGTAAAATATAATAACAAAGTATTTTTGATTGGTTGCTATGTATGTAAACTGACCAATTATACTAAGTATTTCATGCCTATATAAAAAATTTCAGACAACAGAATAATCCGACACGGATCGTCTCCTAAACTGATTATCTGTTATCCGTATAGGATCGGATTTTGAAGCGGATATTCGGATTGATGGATCTCTGTATATAAATACATGTTGTATCACCAAAAAAAAAACGATAACTAGGTTATTGTATTCATTACACCGTTCGGGATATCGAAAATTCGGGATACTACGAACGATCAACTGACCTAACATATTTTTATCGAGTCGATAAATTTAGGTCGATTACAAATACTGATAAATATTTTCCATTTATCTTTTCAACAAGCTGTTAAATTAAAAATTTCTTACAAATATTAAGCACTAGACACTGAATATATAGATATATATTTTTAAAAAAAGCATTATAGTTATTATTAGGGTTATATCAAATTTACATTTACTGCGTCTATTTCTATTCATCTTCATCAGACGACTCTTCACCAATGAGGTAATAAGAAGGATATACATTTGTAACTCGATCAAAATACCACCAACCATTTGTCAATTGGTGAAAATCTGCGGTGATAAGCATTCCAAGCGTAGCACATCGTGCAATACTAGGTTCAAGATAAACAGTGATTGCTTCTGCATCAGACACTTGATACACGCGGACGGTCATCTTTTGAAGGTATTCATCATTCAATGAAGTCTGTTCATTCATATTGCATTCCGTAGCATTAGTATCTACGGTAACGTTTGTGGCCTTATCATTAGTACTGTCCGCAGTTATATCTTCCATGGTCGACGTTTCTTCATTGATAGTTTTATTTGGTACTTGGTCTGGAATTGATTCTATATCGATAACTTCAACAAATAACGCCTTTTTTGAAGCTTCTGGCACTTGCTTCAATTCACTTAGAATATTCTGACCAAAAACCTTTTTAACAGTCAAATCTGCATTATTTTGTGAAATACCAATCATTTTTGCTATACTTTCTTCTCCAAACCACGAATTTTCAAATATTCCAGATAACTCCCCACCGAATATCAAAGAACACGCCTTATTAAATTTTCCCGGTGCAAGCTGTGCAAATAATTTGCAATTCGGAAGTTCGTCTTTTGCACGTTCTGCAATCTTCAATGCTTCTTGCATATCAGAAAGGTACTCATGACATACTTCATGCTTAATCAGATAATTTAAGAATGATGTGACAACAAGGGGTGCTTCACGAAATTGATCCATTTGCACATAACCAGATTTATCGATCAAATAGCTTGACAAGTAGACACGAACTGTGTATGTAAAATCCACTTCCAGCTCATCGTCATTTTCCTCAATATAATCTGTGGCGCGTCGCGCAGCTATTTCATCTGCATCTGCATCCTCGCAGTTAAGCCCGTCTTGACCTAAGAATGATTTCTGGCCAGTATTGATACCACCAAACCGAAGATAAGAACTAAATACTTGGTTGCGAGTCGAACTGAATTTACGGTTCTTTCTGTATTTTTGAACTGCAATTTCGATGCGTTGGGTTATTGAACGTGATCTGTTTGAATATATATGATCCTAATCTTTATTAGCAATTCAAAAATTTGAAAATAATAATAATAAACTTACGGATCATAAAGTTTATCTTCGTCCGCGTCCTTTGGACCACTATCGAAAAATTCCAAATCTGCGTCAGCGCACCCAGTTTCCTTCTTTTTCTTTTTTTTCTTCTTTTTTTTCTTAACGTTTATGGTCATATTATTAATAGCATCAGCAAGCTCATTTTCACTTGCATTCACACCAGTATTATCCTTTTCATCGGTGGCATCAACGACTGACGACATGTTAATTGCTCAAAAAAAGAGAGTTTCTTTCATCTTAGATATGACACTATCATAGATAATACATCATTTTATATTGATATCGATATCGTGCCGATCATATGATCATATGACCAATCGTATCGAGCATCTAGTGCTAGCGACCGAACTTCCCATTATATACGCGTAAATACAAAACTATTGGAATTTGAAAAAGTAGGCTAGTCGTGTTATAAAAACTAATTATCACCAAAAAAAATCTAAGCATGTAATTTTGCAACTTATTTATTTTGATTTTTTTGTTAAAGTTTCTGTCTTCAGAGAGTAATTTTTATTCAAGTTATTATAAACACAGGAACCTTTTTACATAAGAAGTTATAGTTAGTTACATATGCATTTTTGGTGCCTAATTTAAGTAGTCTACTTATACATTACTATACATGTCATACTTACAAGTCAATTATGGGTTTTGCAATTTTATTACAAAGTTCTAATATTCAAAATTTTGAAACTATAATTTTAACATAATAATTAATATTTAAAGATTAGTAATTATATTAACCATTATCAGATCTAAAATTTAATTATTATGTTATATAATATCAATATTATGGTTTATTGAGATTTTAAATTTTGTTGTAAAACTGGGTCTTGCTTATTTTTATTTTTTATTTTTTATTTTTTTTTAATGTTAAAATCTCTATTTTTGAAATATAATATTTTTGTTCAAGTATATAGGGCATGGCATGTCTTCAAAGGTTACTTTACATTGGAGATTACAACTAGTCATACATGCACTTTTAGTACCTAATTTAAATAGTCTGCTTATGTATTACTATATAATTTCTATACTAAATATTATATTTGTAAGCCAACTAGAGGTCTTGCTTATTTAAACTTTCTATATATACAATCCTTCTTGTATCATAAGAACATCTTTAAGATTACATCTATCTAAGTTTCTGATACTGGTTAATATCTTTAGAATTACATTATTCTTAATAAAAAACTTACTAGAACCTTTATATCTTACACATACTAACCTAATTTTATGCAACATGTTATAGTTATCTAATATTTGCAATCACAGAGGTTATCTGTTTAACTGTTATATTACATTATTTTTATTTTTGTAAAGTTTACTAAAACCTCAGTACGTATCTTTCTGGTATCTTCTTCATTATCTTATACTAGTTGCAATTCGAAACAGGTAGTCTCATGTCAGACTACTAATTCAAATAGCCTAATATAAATATATTTTTGTATTCTTTTCCTTTAGTGAGTCTGGCAGCCTGGTTGATTATATACTTCTCTACATATATTTAATATTCAGTTTTAAGCTTTAGTTTCTATAAAGATGTTTTGTAAACTTTAACCAGTCTGATGATATTGTCAAAAGATTATAATATTTCTTTATTTAGGAATTTTTAAGTGGGTTTTTATCATCTTAGTTTCTTAGTTTCTATACTTAGTAGTTTTATTATAGGTTTGTACTGAAGTCTTATACAATACTGGTTATATATTTCTCTATATACATATAATGTTACATTTTGTATAAATGCCTCAAGCTTCTAATGTTAATAGAACCTGACTTGGTATATCTGAATTACAATCATATGAGGCCAATCGATTAACAGAAGACAGTTATCATAATGCAAATATAATTTTCAAATTTCATCATAGGTAGAATTTGAATCTTAGATCTGTTATTAGAAGAATGATAATACAATTACTATATTAGGATCATTATTCTTTTTTATTATTTTTTTTAATTGTTAAAAATTATATTTTATGTTAAAATTAGTATTACAACTATTTTTATAAAAGAAATATAATGACCTAGTAAAGTAGACAGATTGTCAACACTTAAGTGGTGATTTATAGTTCAAATCCTAATGATAGCAAAAATTTGTAATTTTTTTTATATTATAGTTAATTGTTTTCTGCAATTGATTAGAATTAGATATTTGTTATTTGTATCATATCAGCATAACTGAAAGATCTAAGTATTTGTATAATCTTGTACAAAGAAACACAAACAAGTACCAGATAATATAAATTTATAATAAATTCTTAGACTATATAAATTACAGGAACTAGGTAGAAAGATAAAAGTTTATTTAAAGGACCTAAGTAAAGAGATAACCTAAACTTTTAACAATACTATTGTAAAAACTAAATCTATAAAACAAAGTTAGAACTTATGAAGACAGTCAAAGAGCTGGTCTTTGAGAAGGAGTTGAATAGAACCAGTCAGATTACCAAAATTCATTCCAAAGAAAAAAATTATATGCCAAAAAATTTGTAAACTAAAGATACAGTTACAATCTATTTTTTTAAGCTATCTGGTTTAAGAGTTTGGTAGAACTTAAATTAAATATTAAATTAATAAAAATATATTGTAAAGTTAGTATTAGGATTAGAGTAAACTCTACAAGAATATAGCAGTTTAATGATATGTTTTAACTGCAAGTATTAGTTTCAGTCATAGTAATATTGAATTAGCTATAAGAATAAGATACAAAAGATTCTGAAAGGTTTAATATAAGGTCAAAGATTTCTTATACTACTTTAAAGACTTAGTAGTTATAACATATTTTTACTAACATTAGTTAGGATCATTAGTAAATAAAAGTAGATGAATGGATACAGAAACTAAAGTGTTTAAATAGAAACCTACAAACAGATTTCAAATATAGCAACTAGTATAGAACTTTTGAGTAGACTATTTAAATTAGACAATAACTAAAGTTATATAAATGATTTGTTGTATACTTTTTTTATAATTGTCCTTTGTAGTTGTAATGCAATCATTAGCTAAATATACTATCAATAAAATTTTGGATCACAAGTACTCACTTTAATATTTAAAAAAAAATAAAAATAAATAAATTTTTTTTTTAAATTTTGGTAACATTGCTAATTAGTTTATTAGTTTTAAGAATATAATACAATTTTATAGTTATATGTTTAGAATTGATTATTACTAATACTATATTTACTACCTAATTTATACTATTAACTTTACTCAGTTATCTATATACCATCTAAGTTTGTGTCTACTACATGCCTGCATATAGTTATCTTGGTCATCACTTGTAATCAAGGCATATTATTAAACTGCTACACAGACAAGAATATCTATTGAACTTAATATTGTATTCTAATAACAGAGGTACTGTCTTCTGTAATTTTTTTTTTTAATGTTAAGATGAGTAATTGTAACTCAGAAGTTTATTAATAATATGTTAGCATATAACTATTCTGTATAACAGCTACAGAGGCAATCATAGAAAGAGTGTACAACTAGTCACTTATACAACTTTAGTTATTATTTATTTTAAGTAGTCTGCTCAAAGGTTCTACATTAGCTGCTATACCTAGAACCTGTTTGTAGGTTCTCTATTTAAATATTCTAGTTCTTATATTCATTCTTATTCTATTAACTATAGTGTTAATCTGCAAATATATCATAGTCACTAAGTTATATTTAACTTTATATTAAGCTCACTAGAGCCTTTTGTATTCTATACTTATAGCTGATTTAGTACTGCTTTGGCCTAAACTATTACTTGCAGTTAGGGCTAATTATTAAATAGCTAAACATTTGTAAAGTTTACTAAAACTCTAATACCTTTTTATCTGCCTTCAGTTTCTATACATCAGCAAAATTATAGATGCGAAATATTTCGAAAGAATTTGCATAGCACAAAAATTTTGAAATAATGCAAAAGATATTTCAAAATTTTTGCGAAACACAAAATATTTCGAAATATTGCAAAATAAATTTCGAAATTATTGCACTATGCAAATTCTTTTGAAATATTGCAAAATAATTTTTTGAAATTATTGCACAATAAAAATATTTCAAAATATAGTAAAAGAATTATCTAAATATGTGAAGGGCAAATAAGGTGCAATAAATTTAAAAATTATTAGAAGAACGCAAAACATTTCGAAATATTTAGAAATAATTTAAATATTTCAAACTTCATTAAAATAAAAAATAATAATAGAATTAT